ATATGACCAAGTTCGCAATTAACTTTCAACTTCAGCTAACGGGTAGACACACTAAATGGTCATTTAAAAGATATTGCAACGCAGACATGTTCTCCATCATTTTTGCCCCCCGTTATCCTAATGTATTTTCGAGAAATAACATCAACAGTGGCTCCTGTGTCTCGAAGAAAATAGGCATTTCATACCCATTCACTAAACCGTTAATTGTATATGTCTCCTAACAAATCATCATTCGAAGATATATGCAATTTATCTTTCTTTTCATTTGGTTTTAAGCGAGGACACTGAGGCTTAAAATGTTCGTATGATCCACCCTCGAAACAACGTGGGCGATATCTTTTGTCATGTAAATTTTCTTGGTTTTTGTTTTGGAACTGATTCTTTTGCTGATGATCTTTCTTGTATTTTGAATCATCCCATTTATCAGAATGCTTAAAATGAGGCGGATGCTCTATTTTTTCACAAAATTATCATAACGCGGTTTAAATGATCTTTTGTTAATTTTCTCAGTCTGACTGGCAGAAAATTTCGGTTTTATTGTTTTTCTCACATCTTCAAAATCTTCAATTTTCTTAACCATTTCAGTAGGTAAAATGATGGTTGTCCATTGATCCATAAAATGTTCTTTGAAATCAGAATTATGCTTTTTAATTTGATCAACCAGCATGAGATCTTTTAGCTGTTCAAAAGTTTTAATGTTTAATCCGTTAAGCCATCCTTCTAAATAATTCTTTAATTCATAGTAGAAATCATACCAAGTACTTTCAGTAGATTTTTGGTGTTTATTAAATACTTGTCGAAATTTTTCCGCACTCAATTTAAATCGTTGTAACAGTAAAGTTTTTACATATTCATACTTATTCGCGTCCTCTTCTGGTTCTCTAGCAATAAAGCTGAACAATGTCAGGAGGCAGCAATGAAATAAGTTGAGTCACTTGATTTTCAGCAGGTTTATTCATTATTTTAGCCTGACGCTCAAATAACACCAGAAATAAACTTATTTCATCTTCTTTAGGATTGAAATGTGGCATGACATCATGAATTCTGATTTTTAAAGGCTGCTTAGGTAACTGCGTAGTTTCTACCGGCTGTGCTGTGGCAGCCATTGCTTCCAACTGAAGTTTCTGTAGCTCAAAGGCTCAATTCGCTCTTCTCTTTCAAGCTCTTCTTTTCTTTCTTCTCTTTCGCGTTCTTCTCTTCTTTCTCTTTCCTCTCTTTCGCGTTCCTTTTCTCTTTCTTCTCTTTCGCGTTCTTTTTCTCTTTCTTCCCTTTCGCGTTCTTCTCTTCTTTCTCTTTCTTCTCTTTTGCTTTCTTTTTCTCTTTCTCTAGCTTCTCTTTCGCGCTCTTTTTCTCTTTCTTCTCTTTCGCGTTCCTTTTCTCTTTCTCTTTCGCATTCTTCTTTTCGTTCCCTTTCTTCTCTAATTGCAGCCAGTAGTTCTAGAGTAAACTCCTCATCATAATCGGGACTTTCAGTAATCAGTTTATGCAACTGAGCAATCTTAAATTCAGGTTTCACGGTTAAACCTAACTCTTCTGCTAGTACTTTTAAATCCTGTTTTTTACTCCTAGCTAAGAATGACATGTTGACACAAGTAACTTAAAACATTCGCTTATCCCATCTGTTGCGAATTGTGCCAGATTATATGCTCTTCCCAAAATTCATAAAAGTGGTATTCCTTTCCGCCCTATTGTATCAAATTTAGGTACTGCCTCGTATCCATTAGCTAAATATTTAGTTTCTAGATTTTCCACTCTATTAGACAATAACATTTACACCATAAAAAATTCAATAGAGTTTGTAAAAAAGGTTAAAAACATTTCTCCTCGTAATTTACTCATGGTTTCTTTTGATGTAAAATCATTATTCACCAATGTCCCAGGTTAAGGGTGCATTAAGATGTCTAGAAACCAGACTTCGCGAATTTCATTTCTCTTGCATCGAAATTGATGAGCTAATTTCTCTCACTCAACTCTGTTTGAAACAAACATATTTTTGTTTTCCAAAATAATATTACAAGCAAACTGAGGGATTAGCCATGGGAAGCCCCCTCAGTCCCATCCTGGCTGATATCTACATGCATTATTATGAATCAAAATTATTTGAAACTTTAAACTTTCCGGCATGGTTCCGCTACGTAGACGATACTTTTACCCTGTTTGAAGGTAATAAAGATGATTTAAATAGAGTTCTTTCAACAATGAATTCTATTGATCCTGCTATTCAGTTCACTTTTGAACTTGAGACTTGCAATTCTCTTCCGTTTCTCGACATTCTGGTCACACGTAACAACATCCAACTTCAGTACTACAGTTTACCGTAAACCTTCATCGGTTTGCCTTCCACCACACTTTAAATCATGTCATCCGACTAAACAAAAGTTAGCTTCATTTTATTCCTATGTTTTCCGTGCTCTTCAAGTTTGCTCCTCCAAACTAGCCCTTGATGAAGAACTAAATTATTTAAAAGCAATAGCTATTGACAGGGGTTTTTCACCCAACATTATTAATCAAGCAGTTAAAAAATTCTCATCTCAACACACTAAAAGCCACACTCTTATTTTAGGAGATTATAAAAATTATGTTGTCATTCCCTTCTTTACATCAATTAGCTATAAAGTTGCACATATTTTGCAGAAATTTAACTTTCGGGTTGTTTACTCTCCCATCAATAAAATTCCAACTTCTATACTCAAGGACCCCATTCCGGATATGAATTCCTGGGGTATTTATAGGATTCCTTGCCAGTGCGGTTTAATTTACATTGGCCAAACTAAGAGAGCCTTAAAATTTCGCGTCAAAGAACATGAGGCATATGTTAGAAAAAAGGAAACACAGAAGTCTTCTATTGCTCAACATTGTTGGTCCGAAAATCACACTTTCAATTTTTCTGCTGCCAAAATTATTCAAAAAACATCTTCCATTGGAGAACTGGATTTTCTAGAGGCATTTCACATTCATAAAAATCTTTCTGTTCTAGTTAACGATCCTAATTCCAATCCAAATTTGCCTTCGGCTTTTAGAGAAATTATGTTTTAGTTCTGGTTTCGCCAACAGATGGCGCCACTTGCTTATTCTTGTCCAGGCTTTCTTATCTTATCTAAACATTATTTCCTATCTTGTTCATTTGCGGTTTTGCAGCTGAAGATGGTGGTTCGGTGAAACCATCGAAACTAGTCCTGTGAAAATTTTGTAAATTAACGCTGATTTTTGTTGTTTGACTTCTGAATTAGTACAAGTTACCTTTATTAGGCTTTCTTTTGCAATACAATCTAAAAGCGCGTACTTGTATTAAAAATATATAATTTTTCGCGAGACTTAATTTCTCAAGTACGAAATTCACACTAACCAATTGGAGAGAATTATAAACAACTTTGCCAGGTTGGCACAAAATACTATAATACTACGTCGGGATGACGTTTTAACTCAGTATTCACAACCCTCATTAGCTATAACTATATAAACACCTTTGCCAGTTAGGCAATTACCCACGTCAGTTTGACGATTTTACTATCTATCTCCATGCCTCGTTGGCGATAACAAAAACAATTTTTTGCCAGTTTGGCAATTCAACTTTTAGAATATACAATCTTTAATATGTCGGGATGACGTTACTATATACCACACGCCTGTATGGCGAGAACTAAGAAAAAAACTTTTGCCAATTGTGCAGTATAATCAAATCACACGTCAGTTTGACGTTGCTACTTATTTTCCACGCGCCTGCTTGGCAACAAATTCAAAAACTCAGCTAGCAGCTCTTTTTTTTTTTTTTTTTTTTTAGTAAGTAAAGCATAAATAATAATTTCAAAATACTTCTTTACCACAAATATCAATTATAATTTTAAGCTGAATATTTTAGTGTCAGTTATTTTTAAACAAAATCTTACACGATAAACTATAATTCTGAAATAAAGTATTAAAATTCAATAAAAGCTTTTTTAAGAAAACCAAAAGTTAATCTTATCTTCAGAGATCAGCAGTATCCTGTTTCCTGTTTTGACAGATTTTTGCTCGGACGCAAGTTATAGAAACACAGAAGATAACCTTTGAATGATCTGCTTCAAATCTGGCTTTAAAACGGCAGACTTCTTACATCCATTTCTCCTTGAAATAAACAAACTCGGCAATTGGTATCAGCAAACTTGTTCTGAAAAATTCAGCAAATTTCTGGGATTAGGAGACCAGTACCATCGAAATTGATAATTGCACTCCTAATTTCCAGGATCTCGGTGGAACCTCCAATTAATTAAGACTGTAATGTATTTTGCAGTAATTTACAAAACAGACAATCTTCTTAGTAGAACATAAATTTTATTTCTAGTCACGGTGATAGACAAAATTTTATACAATTCTTAAGTGGCAAAATTTTCATACTAATCCTAGCTGTAAAAATCTTCAGAATTCTCATCTTTTTTAAAACAATATCTCACGTTACTGAGTAACGGTTTAATACAAATATGACGTTGCCACTTCAACAATAATTATATTTATTTATTAAATAACAAGATATTACAGCGCTCTTCAGTAGGCGAACATGCTGTGATTCTACAATCTAAAACCTTCCTATAAACAATATTTCTTTCTACCTCACTTGGATATGCGCGAAATTTAAATGAACATTTTAGCAAGAAAACTGGAAGAGAGAAAGACGGTATAGATAAACGACATAAAATAAATGGTTTGTAAACCTAAATAATTCTTGTATAATAAATGTTCTAAAATTTTGCTATTGAAAATTTTGCCCTATCATCACTCATTTTACAAGATATTTTCTTTAATATATACCTAGCTGTGCTACATAATTTATGAAGTGACAGCATACTCTTAAATTGTGTATCTCGCTTCCTCAATTCTTTAATTGAAAGATGAAATCATGCATAAGGCTCTGAGAGAAAATTCTGTACATATTAAGTTTCATTCGTAAAATTTGATGTCCGCTTGTCATTAAATTTTATATTTTAAAGAGTAAATTGACTAAATTACAAAATAATTTATTGCAGGTTTCTCAGCTCAACGTGCGCAGAATATGAACGAGACACGACGGCTCCAATGGTTTTACAATGGGCAGAAGCTAAGCGGTACAACAAAATACCTTTCATTGGATAAACTTAACTTTTCATTACAAAAATGTCAATCCCTGTGTGATAAAGCAAGTGGAATTTTGCAGTCTTTCACATGCTTATATTTATTAAATTGAAAAAATTACATGCGTGGTATGATACTGTTGAACATTTAAAACGCCATGGTTCGAAAAACAAACATTTATTACAGAGCAAAAAGAAGAAACACACACACGTGGCGAAACGTTTACAGAGGTTATATATATAAATTTACAGCCGATCATGTTTTAAGGAATCACAAACAAGGCAGAGGAAACAACAAATCAAAAATAACATAAAAGAAATATAAACAAATAAAATAGGTTTAAGTTTCAGAAGGCATCGGACATGACAGAAAGCTATAATTCTTTTTAACCAATAAAAATTCAATTACAAATATCCCAACACTCCCCCTTAAACGCACATTATAGAAAAGATAGAAGAATTACACAAATTTTAAACAGCTCAACGACAATAGTTCATAGAATTTTGTTTTGGACAGAGCCTTAGTTAACATATCTGCGATTTGTAAACTTGATTGTACATATTCTATTTTAATATTTTCTTTAACAGTCTTACGAATGAACTTTAATTTTATATCTATATGCTTCAACCTACCTGAAAAGTTTTCAATAACAATACTTTTAAAACATGACTGGTAATCTTAAAACATATAAACATTTTTAACACTGGAAATTTCATTTAATAAATTTTTTATCCATAAAACATCTTGAATATCTTTGCATAAAGCATTTATGTTAGCTTCTGTTGATGAAAGTGCAATACACTTTTGCTTGTTATAGCAACACATAATAGGACAGTTTGAAAATATTATAAAGTAACCAGTAATTGATTTCCTATCTTGAGTATATCCCCTTCCACAATCTGCATCTACATACAAACATAAGTTTGCCCTTTCTAAATCATCCGTTTTGTATATCAATTTTAAATTTAAGGTGTTTTTCAAGTACCTAAGAATTCTCTTAAAGCACACCAGGCAACATCAATAGGATGCTCTTGCAGTTGGCTTCAGCATTTTACTGCATAAAATATCTGGCTTTGTAATCTCTTTGGGATGGCGACACAAAAGTATAAGAATCACAGCCAAATACATGCATGTTTTTCAAATCAGGATTTTCACCGTAATTCAGAAAATAACTAACACGACTGTCAATTGAACTATTTGGGAGTCGATTATTTATATAAGCAGCCGCAAGTACTGCTTCACCCCAAAGGAAGTTTGGTAAATTTGCCTTAAGTATCATTGTTCTAACTTTTTCCAGTACAGTTCTGTTTTCTCTTTCAGCAACTGCATTTTAAAGAGCTGTATAGGGAGGTGCAGGATTTATTTTTACACCTGCTCTTTCAGCAACTTCATAAAGTTTTCCACTGACATATTCTTTGGAATTGTCACAGCACAGTTTTGTGACAGTTGGGTTTAATTTAAAAATAGTTTAAGTTCATCAATAATGTCAAATTTTCTTTTCAGCAGTTTATTTCCATAAATCGCAAATAGTCATCAATTATACTCATGAAATACTTTTCCCCATGTAGTGTTTGAGGTTCTATTGGACCACATATATCAGTGTGTATAGTTATCGGTTTGGATTCTTTTCTACAAGAACCATTTCCTATAGGCAATGCACTTTGTTTGGTACGAACGCATACTTCACAAAATGTTTCTTTTGCAGGGAAGATTCATTAGTTTTAATTTTTGATCACAACAGTGCCGTAATCTTCTGTGCCATAAATCATCATTTCTTTACTGCTAAAGCTGCACATAAATTTGGTGAAAATCTCTAAAATATTGTCTGCATTTGTCCAAATATCCAAATTTAAAACGTTTGTTTTTGTTTTCAATGCAAACTATTTCATTTTTAAAACATACGCTCAAACCTACTGCTTCAATATGTTTGACAAAAATTAATTGTCCGTTTAATTTCGGAACGTCAAGAACATTTTTTACATTTTTTAACATTATTTCAACGCTATTCTTAGTTTTGCCGCAAATGTCACCAATGCCTTCCAGTCCTAAAACCGCTGATTTAAAAGCGCATTTAACAGTTCCAGTCTTAGGCTTAATTGAGGTAAACCATTCCTTGTGAGAGGACATGTGAGAGGCTGCTCCAGAATCAATAATAAATTGATCATGCACAAGATTTCCAGCCATAAAAGATATTGCAACGTGATGCATACTTATTACTATTTGAATTTTCCTGCTTTTTAGTATTATCAAAACATTCGCTTCTGAAAATCAGTTTTCCCACAGCCATGACAGACACAGTTCTTTTTTCTACAGAATTTAACAGAATGTCCCTTTTTACAATAAGTACAAAACAGTTCTTTACGAGCACTAATAAAAACAGATTTGTCCATATTTGGTTTAGAGTACTTATTTTCACTTTTGTAATGGAACATAAAGATCCAGAATCAATAAGTCTGTTTGTAACAAAACCCAAACTTAAAATATCACTTTATTGATTTTCTAGTGATGCCTTAACAATTTCATATTCCTTTGGCAATCACATTAAAATGTAAATAATAACATAAAAGTCACTTACTTCAGATCTACAGACGCGTAGATTACTAACCAAGTTCATTAAGTTGTCGATATGTTGTCTTATTCACACATCTTTAGATTTTCTTATGGTAGCTAAATGTTTACGGGTTAAAATTTGACTCACTGCTCCTTTAGTACTATACGTAGCTTGCAGTTTCTTCCATAGTTTACATGCCAGTGAAGACGCAAGAATATTATTGTTACGAATTTGGTATTTAAAAAGCTAATGTTAGTTTAATTATAAATTAAATGGTTTTATTTCTCGCGCAGTGCAGCGCGTGACGAATATTAAAAGAAAGCTAAGCCGGAAAATTGGAAATACAAGAGGGCGTGCATTAATAACTAAATATCTCTTTTTGATTTCGAGAAAGTACTGGAAAATTCTAGCGCGTGATTTTAAAATCTTATAAAAGGAGGAAAACATCTCAGTTTGTAGTAGTTGCTTAGTTTGTTGTTGTTTAGAAAACTGCTCTTGTTGATTGTAGCGAATTCGCGGATTAGCGTTCTTTAGCTGTTTTGAATTACGTTCTATTGGACATTTGAGTAGTTAAAAGATAACTACTGTGAGATATTGTAATACTGCTTGATAATTTGAGAAAATTTAAGCATTTTTGTTGTGATAATAATAAATTTTTGTTCATTTTTCATCGGACTTGTGCATTCATTTCATAACGAACCCGTACGCACGCAATAATTTTTGGTGTCAGGAGTGGGATATTTGAATGCCAATAACAAGAGCGATGGAAGAACAATTGAAGAGCTCATTATAACTGCTTTTGCTGCTTTCCAAGAAAAATGGAAGCTGGCAAAACATTTTAAAGAAGAAATTAAAGAGGAAATGAAATTGGGCCAGGAATCCGTTAAGGAAGAGAATGAAATGAAAGCTGGTCAAGGACGAAATGAAAAGAGAAATTACCTGCATAATAGAAAATAAATTTGAAGGCTATGGAAGGCAGAATAGACGCGGTTGAAAATAAAGTTGGACAAATTGAAGAAAAGTTTCTTCTGTGAAAGAGCAAAGAAGACAGAGTTTCGGCCGTGAAAAGAAATAGGTTACAGAGTTGATTCAGTCAAAGAAGAAATAGAAGGAAGAGTTTGTTCCGTTAAACAACAAATCGAACAACAAATTGATGAGAGTTTCTGCAGTTGCCAAAGAAATGGGTACTTTAAAGAAATTCGTAGCGTCGGCAGGGAGCAGGAGTGATGATTTTAAATTCTTACCGATGCCTGCTCGTTCACGTCTGAAGCTATCCACATATGATGGGAAGACATCCTGGCAAGTGCATAAGACACAATTTTCTATCGTGGCGGATGCGAATGGATGGGATTCCCAAGCTAAAGCCTGTCATCTCGCCGCTTCTTTAAGAGCCGACGCAGCGGATATCCTTCAGACTCTTCCCGAAAACCAAAAGACTTAGATTTCGAAGCTCTGTCCGGCGCCTTGGAGCTGCGCTTTGGCGAGAAATGTTTAAAAGACTACAGCAGGCTTCCAATTAAAATCCCGTCAACAGAAGCCCACCGAAACACTTCAGGAGCTCGCCACGGATGTTGAAAGGCTGTCCCATCTCGCCTTTTCGGAGTGCCCGACAGAAACAAAAGGGAAATCCTGTCCCTGCAATACTTTCATCGATGGCATCCGGGACCCTGAAATACAGAAAGCTCTACGAATGGCGGATGTAAAGATTAAAAAGTGCTCTAGTTGTACGCCATGAAATTCGAGGCAGCCCAGCAAGCAACTCGTACGAGACCGCTACCCAGTCAGAGCTATGCGAGTCCACGAGCCAGTGGAACAACTGATGGCTCGTTTAGATGATTTATCCAGACAAGTCGACGCTTTGATACGGAGTAGCAGTGAGAACAAAGTGGCTCGAAGGTGTTGGAGATGTGGTTCTGAAGGTCACCTACGACGGCATTGCAGAACACCCCAGGGCACGAATAATAAAACGGATGAGTTTGATAAGACCAGTGAATGCCTTGAGACGGAATAGTTGGTGAAAAGAAACCGAACCTAAAGTGCTGGAACTGCGGTGTTGAAGGCCACATACGAAGGAACTGCAGAACACCCCAGATCACGGAAAATAAGGCCTACGATTCAAACAGACAATTAAATGCCATGGGAAGGAAAAGGATTGACAAGAAACCAAAGTGCTGGAACTGTGGAGCTGAAGGCCACGTACGAAAGAATTGCAGAACACCCCAGGGTATGAACGGCATTGAAGACCATTTCTCAGCAACGACGCAGGAAACAAATTAATGACCATATCGAAGGAACGGAGGTTGCCAGATAATGAAAAACCTTGTTTTAAAAGCACTCAAGATTTCTACGGTGAGTGGCAACAGTAACGGACTGTCCATCAATGGGCATATCGATGGAGTTCCTTGCAATATGATCATTGACACAGGAGCTAATGTTACCATCATTAGGAAAGATTTAGCTGAACAGTTTAAAGATAAACTTATTTGGACGCCATCCTGCGTTACCCTTCAGACTGCGTCTGGTGACAAGATCGAGATAGCTGGGAAGTTAAACGTGAACATCACGTTTGGA